TTTATCTATATCATCGATTGAGATGGGAATTAGGTAGGACAGAACTAGGCAATTTTTGGAGTTGCGAGCTGAGTTCGAGTGGACTCGGCCGAGTAATTCGGCTCCGGCCACAAGTTAGGTCCGGGCCCGAGCCAAGTTTTAGAGCGCAGATCATTGTTGGTTAAGGTGTATTGTTGTGGGTTAATTTCCTCTTGGTTCTCAACCATCTGATCTTTGAAAAAACAACTATTGTTCTCCACAGGAACATAGAGATTATATAGGTATGGGAGTTCTGAACTGAACCCATTAAAGGGACATCTCAATCAAGTGTTCTTGAAGGAACAGTTCTCAACTAATGAATCGGTTATATGTAGATATGTTTGCACCATAGGGATGTGAGTTCAAATTATATGTATTAGAGATTGGACGAAGATGAAGTTAATACAGAGATGACATGGTAAAAGAGTCTCCATGACGTTAAGGGAAATGCCCTGATACCTTAATATTCTGTTTACTTGATTGCCAAATGATAAAGGGAAACTTTTCTTATTTTTTGATATGCATGTTTCTTGTCATATAAGGAAACCAAAAATAGTCTAATCAATATTTACCATCTTAGGTTGTTCAAAAGTTAGTTCTGATAAGCAGCCCTTCTGACTTTATGTGAGTGTATCTTAGTTGTTGTCATTGGCATTAGCTTTACCTGAGTTTAAAGGTGTTAGTGCCATAGTTTGCTTTGAATTTCAAACAATTCCATGCGTTTTATCCATTGAAATGAGGGATTATTTCTAGAGTCATTTGAAAAAGAATAATTTCTTTTCTATGTTGTTCCATTGGTTTGAATAAGCCTGTCAGAATAACATACCTGTGACAAATCTTTGAAACTTACAATCTGTTAATCTTTTTTTGCTGGTTCTTTTTTTTCAGGTCTGAAAAAAGGAGCTTTCTATTGGTGTCAGATTTTGGAAGTTTATTTGTATGACAATGGATTGTAATATTGTGGAGGAAGAACAACTTGTGGATCACTCTTGGCGCCCTCTTGGTTTAGAACCCACCATTCAGTACGTCTCTGCCTTCGACGTCTTTACTCCTGTTTAGACTCCAATCTGATAGGACACTGTTGTCTCAATGGCATTCTTATTCTCTATGCTAGCTCAAGGTGTTCGTGTGCTTAGTTAGCAGCGCTTTTGTCATTAGGTTGCAGCAATGTTTGTAAGTCAGACTCGGGCTCCAACTCTCCAAGGGGCCTGAGCTAGAGTCACACCTATCCGAATACTCCAAGTCCGACAGGAAATAGTTGTATAATTTGATAGAGTTTTTCAAAAGAGTTTTAGTCCAAGTTACCCATTTTTATAGTCTATCAGTCTCCCTTGCAGCCAATACTTCAATGGACTTGAGTTATGTACTTTTCAACTAATGTTCCTATACGATTTATGTTGCATCCTGAAAGGTAATAAAGAACTGGGAAAGTATACAATGCATCTACCTTTGGTATGAAAAGATCACAATTGCCTATAACTGACAAATGCGAAATCAGGTGGCCGGAGGTGTGCCATTGCCATTACTCAAAGTCGGAGAAAATTTTCTCGGGCTTTGTGTGAAGAAATTAAATACCCCCAGCTGTCCTATTTCACATATATCGGCTAAGACAAGTTGTGACCTGCTTGTACCAAAGGTAAACGGTCATATAGTGTACAATCCCTAAATAAACAATTATAAACAGTTAATGCAATGTACTTAGGTTGGTTTGTGAGTATGATTACATCGTAAATGTTTTTCATTATACTTCCCAATTCATTTGGTTGTTGGAAATTTTATTTCCTTTTTCTTTTATTTCTTTTTCATAAGGGAGTATCTATAAGTTGGATCCTTAGTTGATTAAATTAATACCTAGTTAAAGGACAAATATCTCAGAGTGGAACTCAATGTACTTTATCCATTTTAACACCTACTTGTGATCTTCTTGGTTCTTTATTGAGTTGAAATGTGCACTTAAATTTGTAAGAAATAAATCTTCTAAATGGATGCGTATTTAATTTCAAATATAGGAATGTCGTCGCATTACTGAATTTGGATTGCAAGTTGGACCTTAAGGCCATAGCATTGCGGGCCCGCAATGCTGAGTACAATTCCAAGGTATGTAAAGTGATCCATTAGTGATTTAATTTTTTAGGTCCTCGAAGCTCTGTGCCTACTAATACCTGAGTTGTTGTCAAGCGCTTCCTTTTTCATAAGTTTTATGTTCTTGTGCTTGTCAGCATTTTGCAGCATGTATCATGCGAATACGAGAGCCGAAAACCACAGCATTAATATTCGCTTCTGGGAAAATGGTGAGTTTGATATTCTATTTCTTTCTTTTTATTTATATGAATAAGTGCTAAACGGGCGATCATGGCACCTTGCCACTTATAATACTGTACCCTGAGACTTCCTGCTATTTGTTTTGTTTTAACCAATATTTGTAATTATGAGAGGTGCTTTTGTTATTCAAGATGAATGTTTACTAGCTAAAGTCAACTGATATTGTGATTCTTTCTTTTAACTTTGGCTGCTTATTCACCCAAAAAAAAAATTATCCTTAGAATAGGATGATATCAGTAATGGGCAAGTTGAACTTTATGCTTGTACTGCATTAGTTTCTAATAAAATGTTGAAATAGAAAGTGCTTTGCTTGTCAAGATCCATTAGTGAGAAGGTTGGAGTTTTTATTGAAATTAGTATAGAACTTTCGAGTTTGAGAGCTCTGAAATTCAATTAATGGTTACCGCTATCTCCCTTTTAAGATTTTTCTTGCCCTTCAATCTCACTACATCAATTTTTTTTGATGAATATTCAGGTGTGCACAGGAGCGAAGAGTGAAGGAGACTCCAAGGTTGCAGCAAGGAAGGCAAGTACCATAGATCATAATGGGGATTTGATGTATTTATTTTACCTACTTTTATGGGAATAGTTTCCAGCAGTGATTAAAAATCATTGAATTGGACCCTTCTGGGTGATGGGTCTGAATGAGTAACCCACCAACAACTTGGCGATTCCGGTTGAGCCTAGAGATTTCCTCTATATCTTTTATTGAGAGTCAACTGCATTGAGTAGTCTAACTCAGCTGAGTTCAGACTCTGACTGGGGCTAAGGACCTTAGCAAGTCCCAGCCCGAGTCAGGTTTCAAACACTGCTTTATATTCTTGCTGTTTATTAGAGGTGTCTATTTCAATCTCTGTCAAAATGAAAGCTGAGACACCTGTATTCTTCCTTCTTGCAGTTCACTCGAATCCTCCAAAAGATGGGTTTTCCCGTTCATTTCAAGGTATTACTTGTTCCACGCCATTGATATTGCCATATTTTTTCCATGTAAAAATATAAAAAGTTTCCTGTGAGCCCACACAACTTATGTAAATCCAAACTTTGAAATTCTGAAATATTTTAATGCTTTTCTTTTTGCATAATTGACTACAAGTGCCATAATTCTTTTTAAAATGGGTGTAGTTAGCACAAGGTTGTGGCTTTATGATATTCAGCAAAGCAGCACGTCAGAAGCCCTTCGAAAAATGCAGATCTAGTGCCACAAACCTTTATGACAGTCTAAAATATATATCTGCCTCTTGTTATGAAATTTGAAGCTCTAAAAATGATGTAGATTGACGGATTTATGAATACTTAAAAATGGGTAGTCTAGATAGTGTGCTAGAAGATACATAGCTGTTAGAGTTTGTGTTCCATTTTTAACATATTCATAATTGTTAAGGTCAAGGTGAGCAGTTTGAGGGTTTTTTTTGGCACCAAAACTGTATTTCCAACGAGATATGAGCTACAACTTTAAAAAGCCTCGGTCTTACATGATATTTTCCCTTCAAAAAATGCATGTTACTTGAATTAAGGTAAAATTGGCACAAAGAAATGGTTTAGGGTCTTTGTTGTTGCAAATTTCTAGAGAACCTGCATGAGTTTGTGAGGGGTTCCAGACAATAATTCAATATAGGAATCCTTTGATTAAGTTATTGATGTTTATGGTGCATCCCAGGACTTCAAAATTCAGAATATTGTTGGATCCTGCGATGTCAAATTCCCCATCAAGCTCGAGAGGCTTTGCCATTTTCATGATGGTTTCTCACGGGTATGGTCACTCATTTCTTTAAATTTGAATTCAATGGATTTTGGAAAAATTATGTTTCATTGGTTCATCATCGTTGATACGGTGGACAATGATGATGATAGTTGAATGGTGGGACCCACCTTCTTCATCACCAACCATCCTTTTCATTGGGTGGTGGTGACCCAACGGCCATGGTTTTCCACAGCCATTGGATTGTAGTATAATTGTGGTTTTCCATAGCCATTGAATTGTAGTATAATTGGAAATTTGTCAAAAAGCCATTGTATAATTGGGTTTTTTAAGATATATATTCCATCCAAATGATCTTCAATTCTCCCATTTTGGTTTAATGATGCAGTATGAGCCAGAACTTTTCCCTGGTCTGATCTACCGGATGGCGCAACCAAAGTTAGTCATCCTCATATTTGCATCAGGCAAAATAGTCATTAGTGGAGCCAAGGTTTAACACATTTACCACCATTTTCTATTTTCTAGAGCATGTCATAATCCAAGGGAATATGGTGCCCAGTGCTCCATAAAGGCATTCACCATCCAATCTCAATGATGGACGGCATTAGATTAGCAGTAATTGTCCTGACAAGGGCATTCACCCAGGTGTGATAATCTTCACCGGCCGTCATCATGAATGGATGATGGTGCTCATTTGGAGTTCCATGCACCATACTCCATTTAAGTCCATTTCATTCTGGTACAGAGCAAAGGGAAAGGAAATGGGATCTAACTGTTGGTTTCCCATTGATAATTTTTCAGAGGCGGGAAGAGACTTATGCAGCTTTTGATAATATATATCCAGTCCTAGCCGAGTATAGAAGGGGTAAAAAAGTGACTAGCTTGAATCCAATTCAATTTAAGAGTGGTACGATTTTTGGTCTTTTTCTTCCCTATCATTTATTAACTCTCTAGGGAGAGCCAGACAGACTAAATTTCTTGTTGTTTGCATGTGTAGAGAGTAATGAAGTGCCGCCTCAGGGATATGTTTCAAGTCCTCACTGATTTTTGGAAGCCTCTACTTCGACCTGCAAATTTGTTGAAGCCAAGAAATTTTGATTAGATGACTCTGATTTAGGAAGGCTCCACTTCAAGTTGCAAATTTTTTAATCCAATGAATTTTGAATAGTTGAATCCCCATTGAAACTGGAACTGGAGCTCTTGGGTGGTTCAAATTCAATTATTCTTTCATGACTTTAAAGCAGCTAACACATTCTCGGTTCTCTAATTTTTTTATTTTCTGTTGTGTTGTATTAAGAATCAATAGTGAGAATCAAAGGCTATTGCCAGCCCTCTATTGGTTTTTTGGATGTTGATATGTCACTTTTGATATATGATGTCACTTTTTTATCCCCTTCAAAGCTCTCTCTATTCAAGTTAACAAGCTTATGCTACATGTACAGAAGCCTGTTGGCTAAAATATAAAGTCAAGAGGAATTTTTTTAGGCTGAAATATTGCACATACTTTATTCAAGAAATAAACTGTTATAATAATGATAGCTCAACCTTCCCCATTTTTTGTGCAAATTCTTTCTTTTTGATTGGTTAAGAGATGAACATGTGATGCAAATTTTGGTGTTTAATAAACTCTTATAGCTTCGACAGGCTTGCTATGGTAAGAGCCCATGGACTTATATAACTTTCCTCCATTTTCATTACTGAAAAGCATGATGTATTAGTACGAGCCCACTTGTACGAGGAACCCATGGGCTCGTGCTACTGCCTTGAGAATATATGGTATATTCAGCCTCAATTTTGGCAGATTTTTTTTTTTGCTCCTAATTTAGTTACTGAATTGATGATTAGAAGTCTCAAAAATCATTGTGGTGCAAATGAGCAACTCAACCAGTTATTATAGGCTATTGTTTGAATGGCAGAACAAAATTATTGTGGTTTAGAAATTTTCTTATTTCATCTTTACAAGGGAATAATTCATTTTAAATCTAAAATAAAATGCTAGCAATAACAAGAAAGGGGCCTAAACGTATTTTGTTGTCCCCAACTAGGGTGGCGCTCCCGCTCCGGAATCCAGCTCCGGCGCTCCATGGCTGGGATCTCGTCCGGAACCCATTCCCAACTTTTTGGGAGCTCACTCCTATTTTTAGGATTCTCGATCCCATTCAGAACGGAGCTCGCTCTCGCTACCTCACGGATCTCGCTCCCACTGTCCAACGGAACATGTTCCCGAACAAAAATTTTAGAATCGCGATCCTTACATTCTCGGAACTCCATCCTTAGGGAGGATCCCACCATGAATAAAAACAGAGCCGCTCACTATTAAAACAGTAGGGTTATTAGCTAAAAAATGCGTAGAAATTGGGCCTCCAGGACTCAAAGCATCAATTCTAGCCCTAATTCCTGATGCGTAAGTTCTGGGTACTCCATTAAAAATATTAATTTGTTTTTCCTATCCTTTACAATGGTCTTTCATTTGAATTCCTATAAAAAACCAGTCAAGGCCAACTTTTATAACATACCTGAAGTCTCCTTGTATATTTAGGCTTTCATGGTTTCCCTGTAAAATTAACCGCTTCCCATTTGATTTTTTTAAGTCTTACTTGAGTTTTTCTAAAAAATAAAGGAGCTCTTTTGTCAAGGATATCACCAAGCTGCACAACCATGGAGTTGCCTACGATCCAATGAATAGTTTTTCATCGAAATTTTAGCCATTTTCATGGTTTGTTAGGCCTTTTGGAGATCGCCATGGAGGTCCCCAACCTGAAGTTTATATGCTCCAATCTGAATTTTATCACAATCTGAATTTTTTTTCTTGGATTTTTGTGAATGAATTTCTGATTTTGTTAAAAAATTTCTGTTGTTCTCTACTTTGAGAAGCTATAAAATTTAGCATAGATTTTTTTACCCTACAAGAATACCCCAAATCACCTAAAATATTCATTAACTTCAATAGGGGAATTTTGATGCATGTGGTGTTCTTTCTGTAATTTTGGTTGTTCAATATATTTTTATTAGCTTTTATGCAATTGTGCTTCATTTCTATGTTCATTAGGATATTTTATAGGTCAACCTTTAAAGCCCGTCTCATATATCTTACAGTCATGCACAGCTTCTTATGAGGTTAGTTTCATGGTTGATTTAAACATTCTCATGTAATGTGTTTCAATTAACACCATTTTGAAAAATAAATAACCTAATTTATAGTATTCAAGGTATTGTTTTCAAATCGAGATAGGGTTTCTCTTTGAGATTTTTCTTTTACAATCGTTCTGATAATGTTGATTAGGGAAAATATAATGACTGAAAGATTTTCCTCTGGAATCATATAAATTGCAAAATTTCTTCTTATTTTGTGGATGAAAATATTTTCATGTGAAAATTACATTAGGCACGTTTGGTATGCGACAAAAATAAAAGACTACATTAAATTTTTGAAAGAGAAAGTACCTGAAAATTTTTAAAGAAAAGAACTATCTCAAAATTTTTAGGGGGAGAAGCTATCTCAAATTTTACGTTTTGGAGAGAGAAAGTATATTAAGTATAACAAATTTTAGAGAGAGAAAGTACCAAATTTTTTTAGGGAAGTAAACTTCTCTACAAAGCACCTAAAATTTTTTAGAAAGAGAAACTATCTCAAAATATTTCGAGAGGGAAACTATATCAAATTTTTTGTTTTAGAGAGAGAAAGTGATTGCCATCATATGGCCATTGTTATTTAATAGTATTATAATATTAATTTTAGTTTTAGAAACCCGGTTTACTTTGAAATATTGAAGGTGTGTGCACCGCTGCGAGGCACTCTTTAATCAAATAAAAATAAAATAATTCAAACAAGAAAAGGATCAAAATCCCCTCACAAATTTTATCGAGGCATTTTAGTAATTTTATTTCTTCCTAGTTATTTTTGAATTTGGGGTGTTATGGTAAAAAATAAAGATATCTAAATTTTAAACCATTTTAACTTATTAAAATAAAATAAAATTCATAGACTATTACACAATCCCAACTGTCCAAATTCATTTGGACAATTTGGGTGCCTATCAATGGAGAACTGTAGCATTTCAGCTTTTAGGTATTTTGTAGTGTCACCTTTATGTAATGAAATATCAAAACATCACTCTTCAAAAAATAAAAAAAAAATATAAAAAAATTGAAGATAAGGGGTCTAAGTGCTTGGTTTAATGACTAATAACCTGGTAGTATGTGCTTTTCTCATAATTGAAATTTTAAATTGTGTTATATATTTTCTCCTTTCGGTTCTTTATGCACTTGCGCATGCTTTCCTAAAGAGTAGAGCAAAGAAAGGTGATATATATAGTGACATTAGTGAACAATCATATCAATAATAATTGCAAATTGTATATTATTCCTATGTCTCAAAACATATACTATTTTGAAAATATAAATACTATTTTGAAAATATAAATAAGTTGACTTTTTATCTTTTACTCAGTATTTTAAAAAAAAAAAATTAATATGATCTAAAAAATGTGAGGATTTTAAACTTTCTCTTAACCCGTTCTAAAGTAGGGTAAAGAAAGTAGATTGTATTAGGTAGGTAGTCAATGTAAAACTCATTTAAAAAGTCAAGATTTGAGTGTGACTAGGACAATGGACAAAACAAGAACACAATGCAAGGACTACATTTCCCGGCATGCTAATTATTTTACCATTAATTACAAACATGCATATCTTGCACCCTAGATGTTAGGCTTTTCAAGCAAAGGCCATGGTAGATAAAGTGTTTAACCCTCATAATAATATAGGAAAATTATTGTTAATATGTTTATATTTTAAGAAAATCGAAAAAAACTTCCAACTTTATAAAACTTCGCCTATATCATTTTTTTCAATGTTTGAGCTTTTTTGAACAAAATTACCCTTTACGATAGTTTATTTACCGTAATACATAATGACATTTACGGTAATTAAAATACCGTTATACTTTAATAATGTATTACGGTATTTTAAATAGGGTAATAAAATACTTTTGTTGGGTTTGGTGATAGCTAAATCACCATACCCATATTTTTTTCTAAAGATTAGGGTATTATGGAAAATAGAAAATTGACTTTTTTAAGAAGCAAGAAGATGAAATCTTTATAAGAAGAATGACATAATACTCATCTTTTGAGGGTCACCCCTTTGGAGGTTATGGAAATGGATCTTCAATATGATGATGGACTCCAAAAGAGAGAGAAAAGGGCAATATTCACATAAGTTTTTGGTTGGTTAACTTCCACTTCTAGAGAGAGAAAATCTCTATATTGCTCTCGATGTTATCTTTTTAACAGCAGTAGTACGATGGAAAAAAGGATGTTGATCGACGGTATTGCTCGGTCTGGAGAGCGGGTTGAGAAGGTAGGATCGGTGATGGTCTTTTACCGATGCTTAAAGATGTGTATTATCTCTTGTAACCAAAAACTGTAATCGTCATTGTGATAGTGGATTTCTAGTTACTGAAGCCATGAATGTAGCCCTACGGGGTGAATCATGTAAATAGGGTGTTGTGGTGGTGTGCTTTTTATGTTTGCTTTATTCCTCGCACTCGATTTATAATTGTATTTATCTACTTCGCATTTGGCCAATTGAGTGCACAATCTTGGGTGGGATCCCGGTATTTAGGATTCCTTGTTCTGTAAGCTAAGGGGTTCTTGAGATCGTGTGTGTGGGGCTAAGGCTTGCATTAAGAAAATGATGCATTGTGGACTTTGATGGATACATGGTTTGAGGTGGAGAAATATGGAGGCAAAGTGTTTGTAAGAATTCCACAATTGAGGAAGTATGAAGAAACCAATAAATCTATTCAATGAAAATTGTCAAAGCAATTATGGTGATTTTTGTTATCATGGAAGAGATTGTTCGGTTTAGTGATAGCTAAATCACCATACTCATACTTTTTTCTAAAGATTAGGGTATTATGGAAAATAAAAAATTGACTTTATTGAGAAGTAAGAATGTGGTATCTTTATAAGAGAGTGAAGAAAGACATAATACCCATCCTTTGGGGGTCACCCTTTTGGGGGCCACCCCTTTGGAAGGTATGGAAATGGATCTCCAATATAGAAATAGGTCTCCAAGAGA